CTATTTTTTATAGAAAATGGAAAAATAATTTTAAAAGTTGTTGGATAAAAAATTTCACAATGTTATAAGCACATATTTTACTAGTAACCTAATAAAACTAGTAAAAAAGTTGCGAAGCATAAATTTTAATCCCGCTGGAAACGTACTTAATTTATATTGTACGATCAAAAGTGTTAAATTATTAAAAAGAAAATAAAAAAAAAGAAGAGTTTTGATCACGTTGTAAATTTAATAGTTGAATCCCTGTCGAGTATTCAATCAAGTTACTGAAGAAAATATTCGTTGCTTCTTCTAGAAAAGCTATGGTCTTTCAACTAGAAATAACGTCCGACAAACAACGTGGCTGATTAAAGCTCTGTTTTTGCGCAAGGTCGAACATGGTGACTCGAGGGAAAGTGAAGTTTTAAGAAGAAAAATTTAGGACACGATGCGACACCCAAAAGAAAAAGTACTATCGATATAAACTGATTCGATTGACGTTTGGCCTGTTACACTGATTGATGTATGGGATAACCTTGTGAGAAAGAAGAGTCTACCTTCGATTTGGAGAACGTTTTACGTTCACCAATCACGTCCAAAGCATTACCTTTCGAAACATCACGAAATTGTATCATTTAAATTTGGAAATTTATGTGATTTATTATTAATTATTTTAACGATTGTATAAAATGATATAAAAATTTGCATTATTATACTTATACTTATACAAAAATGAATGATAAAATCAATATAGTTATAAAATATATTAACAACATAAATATTTAGGATAAAGTAAAAAATATTACAAAGTATTTATAAAAAATGTTTAAATATTAATTGTATGCATATAGAGTGGTATGAAAAAAAGGATTTTAAAAAAAGTGAAAGATAATATATGACTTTATTTCCATATGAAAAATATGTAAAATGAACTAAATAAAGAGTAAAAACATTCAGTATTTTTATTAGGTCTAGAAAGAAAGCCTGTAAAATAACATAAGATATTCTCTTTAAAGAATTTTTAAGAAATTCATTCCTATCACCCATAGTGAGAAAGAAATCGATGGCTGAAGATGTTATCGTTATTTCTCCCCAACGTGATCGCTTCTCTTCGAATTGTCTTCAACTTCACGCGATATATATATATATATATATATATATATATATATATATATATATATATATATATATACCCCACATCGTAGATTTATTCTTTCGCATTCGGTGAAAGTTATCGAGATAAATGGTTCCCACTCGTGGGAACTTAAAAACAGTGGGTGAAAAAAAGAAAGAGAAAAAATCAACATAATTCTATCAAAAGAAGAAACGAAAGATGCTCCTTTTATTCTCGTCAAAATTTGCGCCTCGTAAAAAGTCTATAAGAAGAATGAAAATATGGAACAAACTGAATTTTCATTACTTTTTTTTGATATATTTTACACTATCTTTCCTTTAAAAGATAAAAATCGACCCTATCTAGAGGAACAATTCTGACGGAGGGGTAAAATTAAATTTCAATAATGCGATAGTCGATATTTAACGATCTGCCAACGGTGAGAAGTGAAAATGTTATTCGAAAGAAGACAGAAAAAAAGTAAGTGATGTTATAAAAGGAAACATATAACAATATTGTGGCGACACATCGTCGTCATTTTATCATTTGTGCATGCCTCTCCTTACTCTCTTTCTATTTTCGTCTCCTGCCCACCCCACTCACTCACCTCCCTTTTTTTCCCTTTCGTTTACTTTCTCGTTGATTATTCGATCTTTCAGCATCACTGAGAAAAAATAATCACGTAATGTGCTTCTAATTCATCGTACTCTATAAACAATGAGAAAAATAACAGCAAAAAAAAATAGAGAAAGAGAGAGAGAGAGAGAGAGAGAATCCTATATACAAGGCGATCATGTTTTATAGCAGTGAACGTTAATCCTTATCATTGCTCTTAAGGGAAATTGTTTTCCGTAAAATAATAAAACCCCAGTATATACATCTCATACACCTTCTTTTCCTCTTTATTCGCTTTCATCTTATATGCTTTCCATTTTTCTTTACCTCACTCTCTCACTCTCTCTTTTTCCATCTCTTTTATTTTCGTTACTTCATATGCTACAGTAAAAAACGAAAATTGCCCGTGTCATGACGTTATAAGATCGATGGAATTTGCCAGCAACGAGTTTAAAAGAGTGGAAAGTATATAATGGTTTTTTAGGTAAAATATTATTTTACAACAAGTGAACTTTCAGACGCTTTATAACAATGAAGATATTTTGTTGTTAGATTGAATATAAACAGATTTTTTTTTTTAATATCATGATAAAAATCAGGAATAAAAATTTCTCCAATTGAATTTCTGATCTGAGAAATTGTAATATTCTTCACGCAAATACAATAGTATTATGCCAAAAGCAGCCACTCACGAAAAAACGCGAACAATATGGTAGACGCTGATTTAGTTTTCGCATGCAATGAATTATGCGATCTAGTTTCAAGAAAATTTACTATAGCGTGAATTATTCTATGAGATCGCGTCAATAAGCATTAATTACTCCATAAGATATCGTCCTACTTTTCGATAATTAACGCAAACATTCATTTCTTTTTCTGAAAGATAATTATATTGTTAAAAAAAAAACGACGATTGCTTTTTTCACAATTCACGTAACAAAATTGTCGATTATCGAAAATTAGTTACAAAATTATTAAAAATATTAAAGCACTTTAATTATCTATACTTATAAGAAAACTTTAAAGTAATATTTTACTTTATGGGGTACAAATGAAATAAAATGAATAAATGAATCTGTGGTTTCAAATTTTCTGTAATAAAATAGGATTATAGAAGTACATGATTTATTATTACAGTCCTATAGTTAATTTGATTTGAATCGATGACTTCTTGTCAACCGACATCGAAAATGATACTGTAGGTAATTTAACTTGCATCATCTGGTGATGATGCTTGTAGCCTCCAGCATATTATTATGACACGTACCTATTACCTTATATACCATAGCTGTGTCGTTAAATATTTACGAAATTACGCGGTGCGACCTCGTTTAATCCCACTTAACGATCGTTAATTTCGTATCTTCGCTGACGTTTATGGTAAATTATATATCAAATCGGTCTTTTTCGCGCCATTCGCAGATGCAACTGAACTCACAAATTCGCATTATTTTTCGTGTCGTTTTATTTCTTTGACTAATGAGCAAAAAAAGAAAGTAATTTAAAATTTTTAATTATTCGTGAAATATAATATCGATTTGCAAAATCAAAACCGAAACGAAATTGATGAAAACAATAAATTAAACAATCAAACTTGTTTAAATGCATCCTTTGTTTTAATGAAATGGTCAAATACATAAAAAAAAAAGGATTAATAACAATCCAGACTTAATTCAGACATAACTTAAATGTGAATAAACTGAATCTAACACATTCACAAATTCGAATCGTTTCACATTTAACCTTGTCTTTAGACGTATCATTAAAAAAAAATTAAAACCAATAGATTTCTTTATTTCACCTTGATAATTATTATCTTTTCGCAAATAAAAAAGAAGAAACAAGTGTTATTAAAATAATCATTGAGAAAATATTTTTTTGCGTTAACGAATATAATCTGATTCACCATTTGGTCCAGAAAAATTATAGTGCGAGCAAAAAAATTAAGCACAATCCAAACGTAACTCAAACGTAAATAAATTGTATCGGATTAGTTAGCAAATTTAAATCGTACGTGTTATGATCAAAGAAAAGTAGTAACAATAAATATTTGTTTGATCGTGAAAAGAGTACAAAAAAAAAATAACAATAAAACTTATAAAAATAACCGTCAAGAAAATTGAACTTTTTAATGTATGATAAATAAAATTTAATTCACAGAGATTGTTATATAAATGTTATAAGCGACATTTGAAATAATATTTTTAATAAACTACACGACTACATTTATAGCGCATTAGTGATTATTGCTTAACAAGATAGATGATAATTTTTAATTAAAAAATTTTAAACATCAATTATAATCGTATAATAAAAAAAAAATATATTTAATATGTTCAAAATAGTTTAGTCCGGTACATAATTTTGTATATTTTTTCAACTCTTCTAATTAAATTATTTTCAAATATAACATATCATGTATATGTAGAAAACAGTTGCGTCTCTGTTTCGGACGTTTCTGAATACATGTTAACACGAATGAATCATAACTTCTAATGATGTAAATCAAACGAAGGTTCATACAACCAGACTGTATGAAGAGAGGATAACTTCTTCGACCGTAAATAAATTGGATTGAACTAGAGGAACTTTGCAGATCAAAGACGAACTTGATTAAAGAATAAATATAGGGCTTTTGACAGGAACAAGCATTTCACAAGGTAATCATAGACATTGAGAAAAATAATGTTGTTTGCCGTTTCTCAATCAAGAAAAAGTATTGACAAATACCTCAGACGAGAAATTTCGTTTATTTCAACGAAAATAACAAAGTTTATTAACTGTGAAGCATTGACATTTATTTCTGGCATGATAAAATACAACCAAGCCCCATTGTTAATTGTAATTCAAAATGGAAATAATAATTATGAAATTATTCTATACTTCTGTTATACTATGTGAAAGACAATGAGAAGTTATGAATACACTTAAAAGTATAATTAATATCGTTGTTATTACGACCACAATTAAATGAATTTCAAATTGTTTACACACACACACACACACTCACATATACATACATATACATAACGTACGGTGTTTAAAGTTTATCTTCGAAATTAGAATTAGAATATATTTCGCAAGACTTTAATATACAAAATCTGTGAAGACAATGGTATCGTTCGAATTCTCTCAAATACTTTTATTATCAAGTATCATTTAAGAAACAGAAATATTATTCAAATTAGCATGACACTATAATCGCTGTTAAATTTGGAAAACTCATGAAAGAATATGTATAATTTGTAACAATAATAATAATAACAACAACAATAATAATAATGATAATGATGATGATGATAATAACAATAATAATATATACATAAATATTTTGTATGATAGGAACAGTTATTATAGGAAACTAGGGAACTCGATCTAGCATCATTAAACCCGCACTTGAGTACCACACATAGTTTTTGTTCTCGCGTTCCTCTTTAAGGAAAGATTCTCTTAAGATCATTCACTCTATGAGTCCAAGTTCAGTAGTAGCCAATTTTATTGAACACGAGAATGAGAGAGAAAAGAGAGAAGGATCTTTTTCTTGGAAAAGAGTCGAGATGTTCGACCATTAAGTCATTAATTCCCAATGTTTCACCATTAAGGAAAGATAATGACAACTCGTACGATTGTCCCAATCCTATAACTTCGTTTCTACGTCAGCAAAATTCTTCAATTTTCTTCCTCTTCCCGATCTTTTCATTTGAAAACATAGTGATTTATTAAGAACGATCGTATTCGGGAAATTGAAAGTTATAGAGGTTGTCGTATCGGTTATTAATCTCCAACGATAAAATTCACGGGATTCTGGATTCGATCCAAGAACTTTCGTTCTTTAGAAAATCAATAATTTTATCATCGAAGACACAAATACTTGATTTTTCATGGTTTCCTTCAGATTATTTGAAATATCGTTGAATAAGATAATTTAAACTTGCGTGAGCAAAGTTACTTGTGCTCCGTTCTTTAATCCTTCCTTTTCTTTATTAGCAAGATCTCGATTATGTTCACTAGTTACCGCGATGTTAGATCGTGACGTCATGGTCACCGTAGTCGTTGAAGTTTTACTGACTAACAAACCTATTTCACCATCCTCATCTTCTAACTCAAATTTTGTTTGTCCAGGTGTAACATGACGATTGAATTGCATCTTTTCAATGTTTGCTTTATTCCTTCGCGGAAATACACTGTTCTCGATGTGCAATGCTGCGTTTACGTCTTTGCCTGCCGCGCAAGTGCAAGCCTTCAAGAAGCTTTTTTTAAAGTTGTCACTTAGAAAAGCGTAAAGTATCGGATTCATAGCACTGTTGCTATAGCTAAGAAATCCAGCCAATAGAAAGCTAGCAATGCTGATGCTTGATTGACATTGTTTTGGAGGTGTATAGATCAAAGCTACTTGCATCAGCCAATAGGGTAGCCAACAGAAAACGTAAACAGTTATGACAGTTAATACCAATCTGGTTACTTTACGATGAGAACGTTTCTTTTCCTTAGATTTATTTTTCGGGCCTACAGTTTGAAGCTTCCTGATTACCAAAAAATAAAAGATCAATATGAGGATCAATGGAATTGCAAAGCCCAGAATAAAAGTATAAAGAGTAAAAGCTGTTTGACCGCCATGATCATCCGGCCAATAGATGTTGCAGCTATAAACGCTCTTAGGTCCCTCCATCACGCTTGCATAAAGAAATACTGGTATCATAAATATTACACTTGTAGTCCAAGCAGTGCAAGAAACTACTCTGGATATACAGGGTGTACGCACTTTCGGAGAAGATATAGGATGACAAACAGCAATGTAACGATCAGCGCTCATAATGAAGAGAAAGATACTACTAGTAAATTGATTTATACTCGTAGTTGTCATATAAATCTTACACATTACTTTACCAAAGATCCAACTTCTCGTACTCATAGTTGTTACAAGAAAAGGTATACCTATCAAGAAACACTCATCTGCTATCGCAAGGTTTACGATATACATATTTGTAACAGTTTGCATCTTTGAAAAACGTAATACAACGTATATAACTAAAGTATTTCCTAATAAACCGATGATGCAAACAAACGTGTAAAGTATTTGAGTTAACAGAGAAACGATTGGCAAATCAGCCTCACAATTTGTATCATTATCATTGTATATATCTGTATAATTGATAATGTAGCTAGTCATATTCAATGTGTCATTCATCGTGAAAAATATTGCAAGACCTTTTTTTAAGGTCTACAAATTGTTAAGAATATTTTGGAAAAATACAAAAAAAGAACGTGTAGAGTCGTATTGAATGTTTGTCAATGACAAAACACAACGACTTAAACGTTTATTCCTCGTTTCTAAGAAATATTACAAGTATTTAACTCGATGTTATCTGTCCATGAAAGTCTACGGTGAACTTGACATCTTCTCCTTCTTTGTCTGTATCTGCTCCTTATGATGATGTCTCATCGTACGGTACATCGAAGCGTACTTATCGTACTCATCTTGTCCTTCAGCAACAATTCTCTTCTTCTATCACCGAGAATATCAGTGTACTTCTTTGAGGCGAATATCTGGAACAAAGGAAAAACTTTCGTTTTACGCAATAGAAATAACCGATATCGAACTCCTACTGGATATTACTTTCTAAGGGATACTGTTCTTCTACTATCTCTGTGACAATGAGTTTATGCAGATACTCTTTAAGTGTATACTAAAGAAATATATATAACGTATACAAATTTCTATGTATAAGTATCTTCTTATATGTAAGTGTTAATGTGAGTCTAGTTTAACTACAGGTTTCTTTCAAGCATACAACGCGTTCGTTTCAACATTCGGCTGCAACTATCCTAGTATTACAATTTTCTTAACTCATTGTGTGTTCAAATTTGCCCCAGATGCTAGCCTAGTTTCAATTCTAAACACGATACAAGGTTTCTAGTTTATTGAAAACTGTGTTATGCATAAATCTATATATATATATATATATATATATATATTCATAGATTCAACTAACCAACATTTACAACTAATGGCAAGGGGTTAATATTAAATAGCTATAAACATAAATTCTCATGAAATAAATTATTTTCTAATCAAAATTCAAATTAATTTATGTATCATTGAATACTAATTGATATAGTAGAAAATGAAATATTTAAAGAACACAAATACTATATTAAATATTCATCAAGTAAATATCCATCCAAACTGAAATTCTTTTCTCTAAATATTTTACATAGGTGTGAGATGCTTTAAAAGTATAAAAATTGCTGCAGAAAAATGCCAATTTTCTTTCGGAAATGGAAGTAGACGAATGAAAGGAAGAACGCGGTAAACGGTTGCAATATGATGCTACGATTTTTCAACGAATATATTTGCAGCAGCTCGAACGTAAAACTTTATAGTTTCCGTGGTATGAGTATTCGCGTGTATACGTGTATCTGTATATTGCACAATAGCATTTCGTGTTTATGATACCCCAGAGAACTGGACGAAAAGTGCATTGTGCTGAACAAGGGATGATGCGTGTTACACCTCTGAAAATGCAACATTTTTAATTTTTAGAAATATAACCGAAACCTATTTATTTTTAGTATCAATTATAAAACATTGTCTTTATATTTACTGTTTCCGTTTTATAATTTAAATCAAGCATGTGTGATTTATAAAAAAAGTTGATTAAAAATGTATTACTAAATATTTATAGACATAACCAAATAAATTGTATAAATAAAATATTTTATATATAAAATTTTAAATAAATGTAAGAAATTATTTTTATTTAAATGTATAAATATCCAAAATCTGTTATCATAGCAATTTTGTTGTCATAACGCAGTGTGCTAAAGGGATGCTAGGTTGGTATTCATAGATACCCAGCTAAAGTAATTCGTGGATAAGAAATGAAGTTAGTGAAAATTTCAAATAATATTGTAGACAATATTTTTGGATGTAATTATTTTTATGATTAAATATTTCTATGCGTTATTGACATAAGTATTACTTGTTCTATATACGATATTATTTATAAATGTATATACGAGACACGTGAGAATAAAATGGTATTCTTAGTTTGTTCGACAATTCATAAGATAAAACAAAAGTTTTCATTCTCGACGTTGATAACGACAGATAATGTTGTTAATGAGACTTGCAATAAAATGTTTTTTAATTCAGTCCATCGAAAAGGAAACTCTTTGTAAAAAAAAATACAAAGTTCTTATTTTTATTTTCTTATCTTCATTTTTAAAGCAAAATAAAAGAGGTAAAAAAGAAGAGATCAGAAACATGGTAAGCTTCCTTGCGTTTCACGTGTACTATGATGCAAAAGAAGATTTTTCGATTATTCTTCTTTTTATTTTATTATTCCTTCTTCAGAGGTATTCTCATCAACTGAGAGAGATAAAAAGAGAAAAAACGATAAAAAGAAAAGAGAAAATGAGAAGAGAATTATCATAAAAAATACAGAAACAATAAAACAGTGTATGAGTTCGAAACAATATAAAAGAGATTGTTTTATACTAACAATTTCTCATAACTGTTATATGTAAAAGACGAAATTAAAAAGAAGCTAGTAAAAAAAAATAACAACAAAATATTTCAGATAACAAGTTGAAATAACTAATCATACTAATTTGATGTAAATTAATTTTACATCAAATTGTATTCCTGGATTAATTCTTTAAACTGAAATCTTATGCAATTTGTCTCTTTGTAAAACGCATAAGTTGTTAATTATACTTTTCGACTATTTTTACTTTTCCAGACTTCAAGATACCAGAAAGAAATTTGAATATTTAAATACACGCAATAAATGCATCTGAATAAATGCATAAAGAATCAAGCGATTATACGATGAAAGAAAGTGCAAATTAGAAGAACACAAAGTCAGTTTAGAAGATTAGATTTGATTGATAATATTTAAACTTCCTACGGTGTTTTTCGAGATCGATAAAAATGTCACGCCATTCTTTAAAAGCTCTATATATTTACTTTACCATAAAATAAACTGAATTCCATTAATTAAGTTTGCCATTGAGTTTTTTTAAGTATCGCAAATAACGTGACCAGAATCGTCATAGACTTTTTGGATAAATTAATAAAAATATTCTATATTTTCATAAAACATACTTCATGGAACAGAGAAAAAGACATTTTTTTTTAATTAAATTTATAATAATGCATATGTATAAAATAGATCATGTAATATTACTCGAATAACATAATCATTAGGCGTAAACATTACACTTAAGAGAATATATTAGCATAGCCGAAATTTAGGATTAATTAACTAACTCCTGACTAGTAGGATACCTTTGACGCTTGCAAAAGATAAACACGGAGACAGGTTTCCTCCCTATGTTACATCTAAATACCCTAATGATCTTCCTAAAATTTACTCAGCCGTATTAATGAATCGTCCTATCAAGGGATATCTAAAAGAACCCTTATATTCAATCGTGTTTAATGTCTAATGATCCCATATGGATTTGGGCTTTCATTTACGCATAAAAAAATCTTTGAATCATCCTATAGAGAAATTTTGAACAATATTAATAAGTAAATGAAACTAACCAAATAACGGAAGGTATAACAGATTAATCTCTCTTAATCTATCTTAATACATTAATACAGATTTCTATAAATAAAATTTGTTAAATCACTTACAAATATTATTTTGTTAACTAAATCGAATAATATATATTAACAACGATGGATACAATTAATACTTGGATGAGTGAATACTTCGGAACACTGGATTAATGACTCCAAAGACAGTCATCAGAAGTGTTAAAAGGTGCTATTAAGGTTCGTTAAACCCGTAAAAGGAAGAATAATAACTACAAGTACTTGAATTTATTAGATCTATTTGAGTATTCAGACTCAAACGTAATAGACAAGTAATAAAACCGATGAAGAGGATTTTAAATACATCTGCCATACTATGGTTAAATTAAAACTGGATTTATAAAAAGTAAAGTCGTTTTAACTAACATCAAAGATATTCTCTTGGTTTCTCAATTTTATACAAATTTTGTGTTTTTTCGCGGTTTATATATTTTTTAGTTTTATATTATATACAATATTTCCTGACTTTCGAAACTCCCTTTTGCTTCGTCGTTCTACTGTTTCTGAGTATTCTCAATTTGTGTGGAAACCTTTTGTAATCCCTTAAATCAATAAAGATCAAGCTATCTCGAGGATGAATGAACCTTCTCTTAAAAGATCATAAAACGAAGGAATGCATATATTTTGCCTCTTGGGCTTTACGATTGTGCAGATATAGACAAAACTGGGTCGAGCTTGCAATCGCCGTAGATAACATCATCAAATAAGAACTAACAAAGAATATTTTCCTTATATTCGGGAGCATTCCCTAAGATAAGTATGAATAACCAGTGAAAGCCAACTCATTTCAAGAACCATGGAAAACAATACACATATTTCGAACCTCATACATAAAAAATTAGACAGGACTACGACCAATCGGAAATTAGTCCTTCCTTTTCCTTCCCATTTAGTGTTAGTTAATTAATTACATTTTACGAGCTCATGCAAAGAAATCGACTATTACTAGATCATCTTGGCTTTTATTTTGACATACTAGATCGCAATCAATTCAGCCATTTAGCCCGAACCAGTTTACATCACATACACATTATTTACATCATCATTTGATGATAAAGTTAACTAACAATAAATGTTCGAAGTTGAAATAAGATCGTCAAAAGCTATATTAAATATATTTTTGATAAATCCTTGTTTATACCTTTTATTATTCTATTGATAGAAACATGTTCCAAAGAGGACAACCATTTTGTGATGTTTAAATGTTCGTGTTGTAAGTCAATATAGGAGAAAAGTTCTATACGATATTTTTAAGTTTTGAGACATTCATTCACGGACGAACATAAAACAGTTTCGGTTTCATGGTAGCATTCAGACATACGTATGCCGAGACAATCTTGTAACCTCGAAATACCAACATATACACACATACGGATAATTTCCCGACTCAATCTCATTCTGACATGCGTATAATCTTGACTAGTCTCGAAACAACATTTGGTCGCACGTATGCATAATCTCGATTTACATTAAGGACAGTATTTGGTTGTCTGCGCATACAATCCTGACTTAATTTGGCAACAGCATTTAATCGCATGAAGACGTAATTTTGATTCATGCTTACAAAAGCAGTCATGCACGCACTATTTAAAGGTATCACCATTTTCTTACACTTATCGTAATCATTCGGATGTCAATTTATTTATAAGAATTCCGAAATAGGGATCATGGCGTATTTATAATCCTACTAACGAATTTACTAGAGAACTTTAAATGAAAATGCTCTCGTTGTATCATTGAACATTCTAGTCAAATACTACAGATTACACGCTTATACTAATTGTAAGTCTCAATATGTCAATAATGATGATGTTTGCTTTCATTATTCATGTATGCAGAAACATTAACTGACTGAATCGTACTATAAACATTTAATGGTCCTTGGAGAAATCCTTATTAAAGAATATGTGAACTAAGTATGTACGCATATAACAACATT